AAATTAAAAATGCCACATAAACAAAATAAAGTGCCATCTCATCAATTTTCGTGTGTTATCTTTTCCACATCAGTATTTTTTCAAAAAAAAAAAGATTTGCTGGCAAATTAACGTGACACCTGTCATTTAACTAACGGAAGGACTATTTTGGTACCAAAAATGAAAGTTTGAGGATAATTTTGATACTTTTTAAAGGTAAGGGACAATTTTGGTACTAAAGTGTAAAGTTGAGGGACTAAAATGGTACTTAAACCTTTAATATATAATGTACAAAAAATATTTGAAAATTTTATTAAATTATTTAAGAATTTTATTAATTTTGGATAAGATAAATTTTATATTTCTTTCTAAAAATAGAGATGAATAATTTATTAAATGCATAAATTACAAAAGATGATGTAAACATATGTGAAAAATATTGTAAACAGCGTTATCAAATGAAACCAAATACTATATAAATTTATCATAAATAATTAGTTTTAATTAATATTATATATATATTTAATTATTTTAATTAATATTTTATATATATTTAAGTTAAAAAAGAATGAAAGAAAAAACTTACAAAAGCATCACAACGAGGATATTACTTCCAAACAAAGTTAAAAATTATGCAAAAGATCTTAGACATGTTATTAAAGGTATATCAAACTCTACCACAAAACTGACTAATTAATAGCAAAATTATTATTATATTATAAATAAAAAAAGATAACACATATCAATTTTAATTATAAAAAAATTAAACTAACCTACAAATATTTATACTATTAATATTAACATTTAAAATTTTAAATTAATTATATATACTAATATAATTAATTTTTAAATTTAAATATTAACACTTAATAAAATAAAAATTTAAAATTTTAATTAAATTTTTAAAAAATAAAATAACATCATTTAAAATTAAAATTTCAATTTATATTAAATATAAGAGTAAAATGCATTTTTTTCTTATTTATAATACTAAAAAAACTTATAAGCAAACATCAAACCTTTCAAATTTAATAACATTAATCACATTAAATAAAAACACCTCTTTTCATTTGCGATTGGATTCCGTACATGTTAAATTGTTCAAAAAAAAAAAAATAATAATAAAAGCAAAAGCACAATTCAAGCAACGTGATGTAAACTGTAGCCTGTAGGCACTCAATGCTGATGACGTTTCCAACCAAAGTGCGCGGAGGCTTCTCTTCTCTCCACGTGGTGGAAATATAACTACATAGAAAGTGCATAGGCAATAACGCGGAATGGTTGTTTGGGAAAATTTCTTGGTCTTCTTCCTCCCTGTTTCCCCTGTCCTTATTTTTAATCTCACTTTATTATACTAATGTTATTAAAATCAATCGTTCACACCGAAGACACAAACCGAGAAATTTACAAATATTTGAACTTTTTTTAAGGGAGACGCGGTCAGCACCATCACTCTCCAGTCTACACTCTACTCCTCCTGTCTGACCATGACCAGTCTATGCTGAAAAACTCGTTTTCTCAGTCAAATTTTCTACATTCCATCCCAAACAGCTTCCCCCCCACCTCCTTTAAATACCAAAGATTTTCACTTTGCTTCACTAAACCCACCACAACCAGCACCCTCTCTAGCTTGAGGCACAGCTGCCACACAGATAGTTTTTTAAGTCCATGGTTTATAGCTTCTTACCTTTCTCCATTTTCATCTTTCCAAAAATTCTCTGGCTTCTGCTTTTTGATTACCGAGTTTGTCCACTCTAGAAGCTATATGATTTAAAGTAGTGTCATCAAATTATGAAGTTGTAGCATATTCAACAAGGAGTATTCACTCTAGTTCCTACTGACACTGAGATTGAAACTGAGAGAATTGAACAACAAAATGGAGAATGGATGCAGCTGTGAGCGGAAGACAATTACCAAAGAGCTACTACAAGGGGTGGAGTTGGCCAAACAGTTGAGGGGACATTTGGGAACCAATGCATCTTCTGTCGAGACAAGGGACTTGCTGGTTCAGAGTATATTGACTTCGTATGAGAACGCTCTTCGCCTCCTAAAATGGAGTGGGTCAATGGGATCGACTCCTGGCATACCTGAGTCTCCTTTGTCCATCAATGGAAGCCCTCAGAGTGAGGATTTTGATAAGGATAACCAGGAGAGTAAGGAGAGCTCAAAGAAGAGGTAAGTTCATCTTCTGGAAGTCATAAAACTGTAATGTCTTGCTGCAATTCAATGGCTAATTCTTACTGATGCTTCCCGGAACTGGGTAATTGCAGAAAGACACAGCCCAGATGGACAGATCAAGTGAAAGTTAGCTCTGAGGGTGTGCTGGAAGGACCCCATGACGACGGCTACAGCTGGAGAAAATATGGACAGAAAGACATTCTAGGAGCAAAATATCCTAGGTAACTAGTTTTTTGCTTTTTATCCAGCTTCAAGGTCATAAGAGTCATTACCCATCTGATCATTTATCTGAACTTTCTTTTTCCAAGGATAAAAGACTAATGAGAGTGCTTACATTTTCAGGAGCTACTACAGATGCACCTTCAGAAACTCCAAGAACTGTTGGGCTACAAAGCAGGTGCAGAGATCAGATGAAGATCCCACTATATTTGACGTCACATACAGAGGAACACATAACTGTAGCCGAGGCAGCCAGGCAGTTCCACCACCTGCATCACCAGAAAAACAAGAACAGAAACTAAACAATCATAATAACAACAATAATCAACAGGAAATGCTCTTAAAGTTTAGAAAAAGCCTAAGAGTCAATACCGAGGGTCTGGACAATAAGGAGATGGCACCTCCCTTTTCCTTCTCTTCAACATCATTTGGGTGCTCAAAGAATGATAACCTCAATTTTTCACCTACGGCACTTGATAACTTGGGCAGTTTCTCACCATCATTTATGTCTCCAGCAACACCTGAATTAAACTACTTTTCATCTTCACATTGCCAGAGGAACAACTTTGAAGGGGCTTTCCATGCGCAGTGCTGTGAATCTTATCTCACAGAGCTGATTTCGGTAAACACTTCAGCTACCAACTCTCCCATTATGGAACACTGGGATTTCCCACTTGATCCAGTGGAATTTGATCCAAACTTCCCATTAGACACGCCAGGATTATTCTCCTAATTCTGCTTTTGACATTAGAAATAAGAATAAAGATAGATATTAGCATTGCGTGAGCATACGAGACTAGCTACTTGCACCTGTTCAACCCGGCTTGTATTATATGACCAGAATCAGAATGATTGTAGAATACAGAAGAATATCTTTCAGTGTTGGCCATAAAAGATTGCTTATGATGGAACTAACGAGCTCTGCCAGAATTTATTTTATTGCGTTTGCAATAATATTGGTCGTGTAGAAGAATATCTAACAAAACACTACCCAAAACTAAAAATCAATGGATTGTCTGTCAGGCAGTTTGTCCACATGGCATGAAGGGCTTATTAAGGAAGGGGAAATAGAGAAATTGCAGATGCAATGGAATTTCAATCTGCATGCTTTATTCCATGGATGCAACATAACATGAAATCTTAGCTTAAATTGGTGGAATGCATAAGATATTCCAAAACTACCTCCATCAAGAAATTGTTACAAAGCATGTTAGGAAGCTACAGGAGAAAAAGGGACAGAGAAAGGACAAATAAAAGCAAAAAACGGTGGCAAACTAGATCTAGATGTAGAAGTAGACCAAGGAGATTGTAAGCAGCGGAGATGGTCCCAGGTAAGAAACTCCTAATCTTCTAGAAATTTGAGAAGTAGCTGATATCAGAAACACCCAGATTGAAGAGTACCTACAACAGTGACACGTTAAACAACAGGACTTGCAGGAGAAGGTGCAGAATAGAACAAACAAAAGATTACTGCAACATTATCAGGTAGTAGAATAAGAATACAGTAATAAATGAGCAAAATAAAGACAAACTGACAAGAGGATGGAGTACTTGAGCGACATCCTTCTGCTACTTCCATAGGGTAGGCTTCTTCTGCTCTTTCACACCTGGAGCAGAATTAAATGTGCTTTCTTTTGCATCTTTAGCTTTCCTTAGAGCTTGTCTCAATCCCAAGACAATGAATAAGTTGGTTAAAGTGAGAAGCGACTCAGCCCCTCCATGTAACCAATCCACATTAGACAAGGAAGTACCATATTTCACCTTTGCTGTCTCAACCACATAGACTAAAGTTAGGCACTTACCTCTCCAATGAATCAAAATGCATATAGTTATATAGATAAACCTCATTCAGCTGTGAGAAATTACCATAAATTCCAGCTGGAACTGCTCAGCAGAATTGAAAGGCGCAAAGAAAAAAATAATAACAAAAAGAATCAGTAGCGCAACTGACAAAAAAAAAAAAAAAAAAAAGGAAAAAGAAAGAAAGAAATAAATATACTGCAGAAGAGAAACACCCAAATTAGGAAAATTCTCAATTTTACCATGAATATCTTGACACTCATAAAAAGCATTAAAAAAATTATTGTAATTAGAAACAAAAGGAAACCCTCTTCCCCAAGTTAAGAACATATTAAGGAGAACAATTAGCTTTCTCACATCAATTGAAGAAAAAAAAAAAAAGCTATAGAAGGAAAGATAACCAAGAAACTCACTGGTAGCCCCCACGAAAGCGAGCAAGAAATAGAACCCAAAAAGGGTGAGTTTAGGAGAAGATTTGGATTTGGTGATGAAGTACAGGAAACCAATGTATGGAAACAAAGAAACTGCGAAAAGTTGAGAAGCAATGCTCTGTGAATCAATGTTGGGTGCCCATGGATCCACTGGTATTAGCCATCCACAAACAATCCATCTGCCCTTGACAAATCTTCCATCTTCACAATGCTTGAAATCCCTGCTCAATGATCTATTCAGGTTGGTGCGGTGATTATTGAAAAATGGAGAAGAACCCAGAACTGGAACAGCCAACCGAGGATTGGGTAGCTTACACAAGGATTGCACACCACTGATGATCATGATTCCTAAAAATCTCCTGCTTTGAGTCGCGGCTCTGTGGATATTATCAATTAAAAAAAAAAAAGAAAAAGAAAAAGAAAAAGAGAGGGCAAATCAGAACAGTTCTAGCAAAATTATATGTTAAGGCCCTGAACTAATCTCAGATTTATTATTGAACTCCTAAACTTTAATTGATGAATATAAGCTCTTGGACTCCACGATCTGAGTAATTTAGTCTTTATTCTTATGGAAATTTAGCCCGTATTCCTATGTTAGTTAAAGAATTAAGGGCTAAGTTTCTCAGATAGTGGAGTCTAGGTGCTTATATGAATCATTTAAAGTTTAGGGGCTTACTAGTGAACCTGGGGTTAGTTCAGGGGCTTAGCATATAGTTTTGCCTTCTAGAATCTATTTCTGGATTCAAAATTCTCGAGAAAAATGGGCCAAATTTGCCGTGGTCTTTCTTGGGCCGAAGTTCAGTGGTCTTTGAGGTTCCCACCTTTGTTTGTGTTAATTACAGTGGACTCAGGCCTACGTTGAGGCCTAATAAGGATATGGTTATGATTATTATTTAATTTGTTAAAATTATTTAAATTGTCAAATTTTTATTTTAATTTAGTTATTATAAATAATTATTATTTATTACTTAATATACTAAAATTAATTTATATACAAATATTTTTAAATATTATAATTAATTGTTTTAAAAAACTATAAATTGATATAATTTAAAATTAAATTAGAGGTCTAAACCATTTGGATGGTTTGCAATAAACTAGCCCCCCTAATGGCCTATATCTTTTTATTCTTGGGCCTACACTTCTAGTTTTCAGGTCCGAATTAGTATTTGTTTATCATTTTTCTGTCAAATTTTATTTTTTTATTCTGAATTTCCATTTTTTTTAGATATTTCAAATTAGCAATGTTCACCAAATTTGGTGATGGTGATGGGATTTGTTGGTGATGGGATTTGTTTCTCACTTTATTAATTAGGGTTTGGTTTCTTGAAAAAACTAATAAAGAGATAATTTTTTTTATAAATTTTTAATTTTAGCATAAATAACCTACTTTTAATTGGAGAAAAAAAAATAATCTTAAAACATGTATAAATTAGTATGTAAACACTCTCATAGCTAAAAAGAAAAATTGATCATAAAAGAAAAAAAAAATCTAAATGCAAGATGAGAAATCTTCTCCGCAATGGTCAATATATACCATGACTGGGATCCTTTGGGGGAAAAAAAACATAAAGAGTAAAAAAGAGCTTCACATGACCATTAATCTTTATTTATTTATTTATTTATATTGAACAAGAGAAATTTTAAGAAAAAAGAAGAAATATTACATCTCTTAAAAAAAAAAAGAAATATTACATCTGTCTTTATTGAGACTTAAACCTTGATATGAATCCAGATTTTTGATGCATATTGCCAACCCAACTGGTGCTGCTAGTGCCAGGTGACCATTAATTAAACATATGGCAAGAGCAAATTTAAATTACAGAAAGCTTTTCTTCTTTCCAGTTGACAATCTGCTCCTTTATTTTACATATAAAAACAGTCTTGACAAATTACTACCCTAAGCCTCCCATGCTTCCAGAAAAAGGATTCCAGAAATTTTTACTTGAGAGCACCCATTTGCCTTCCACAGTTAAAACTATCGTCCAATATCTTCTTCATGTCATATTTGTACTCAAATCCCATCCTCATCAACTTGCTGGAATCAAATTCCACTACTCCTTTATCTTGTTCATCCATGAACCTAAAATGAAGTCAATGTCGTATTAATATCAATTTATGAAGCTATATTAATTAATTAAGGACCCAAAAAAAAGAAAAAATTAAAATTGCTTACTCTTGTGCTATCTGGTATTCTGGGTACTTCTCGTGCCAATACATAGCGAATTCTCTGATTGTTGGATTTGCAACAGCACAGAGGAATCTGCCTCTCATGGATGTTTGTTCCATACAGAATATATGTGCTTCACAAACGTCATCTACATGTACTAGAGGAACCGATCCCAAGAGTTCTTGCAAAAATCTTAATGCCTTGAAAGTAGATGGATTTCCAGTAAGTTGGGACAAAACTGCTTCCATGCTTTGAGGAATGTAAGAGAGAAGAGTCCCTCCTCCCACCAGGCCACAGGGTAGCGTCACAACTTCTAACTTGCCATCACAAACATCATTGTAACTTAACACCTCTTTCTCTGCCAAAGTTTTTGATTTTGTATATCCCTAGAGCATAAAATAAATTTAATTTTAGGAAGTTATACTAGTAATATGAATACCTTTTAGTTTTTAACAATATGTCCTGTCAGTAAAGCCATAGAAAGACAGAATTATACCATCATAAAGTCATTGCTATGAGCATATGATACATCAAGAGGGGACCAACATGACTCGTTGATGCAAGATTTGAAGTTCAAACCACCTTCTGTTAATGGAGATGCAGACATAACGGAGGCAGTGTAGATTAGCCGTTTCACCGATTGTGATCGAGTGCAAGAACCAGCAATGGCCTTCACTCCAGCAATAGCCGCTTCCACCGTGTCCTTGTACTGTCACGGAGAATTCCAGCCAGATTTTGGTCAGTGTTAATTACTTTTACTGCATTCAATTAAGGCTTGATTAAAAGGAAAAGAGACTGACCTTTGTGTTTTGGGTCTCATGTTGCAACGGGGTAGCCACATGGAAAACAAATTCACAACCTTGAATTGCCTGTTCAAACTCAATGGGATTGTAAATATTGGCTTGAAATAACACTAGGTTAGTGCTTGCATGAGGAAGAGATTTTAGAAGGTCCACTTTTGATGCATCCCCTACAATATAAAATAAAAATTTTTATGAGAGTTTTTGCAGAAGCACACAAATACACATCACAAATAGAGAGAAAGAGAGAGAGAGAGAGAGAGAGACCCAAGTTTCTGAGTGTTGCATGGACTTTATAGCCTTTGTCTAGGAGCTTTTTAACAAGCCAGGAACCGATATATCCAGAACCTCCTGTCACACAGACCTTAGTTGTGCTCTTCTCCATTACAATCCACTTCACCCACAGATTTCTCTATGTTGAAGAGGCCAGAAACCAAAGAGCACTTTCTTTTGTGTCCCATATTCAAAAGCAAAACCAAATTTAAAATTAAAACCAACATGTCATGTCACTGAACTATAACCATTGGCTAAGAATGTGCTTGGCCTCACAATTGCGACAAAAACCTACTTGTAACCCTTTACTTTAATAAATTTGTAGATTTTAACCTTTTATCTTATACTATGACATTTTTAGCCCCTCACCTATATGAATTGAAGAAAATAACCCTTACTTAACATCAAGTTATAACATTTTGTTAATTCTGTTAACTAATTGTTAGTTCTGTTAGTTGGCTGTTAATTCTGTTAGCTAATTGTTAGCATTCCGTTAATGGAATTAATAAATAAAATTGAATTTAAATTTCATGTTTTTTATAACAGAATGCTAACAGTCAGCTAATACAGTTAACAATCAGCTAGCAAAACTAACAGTCAGCTAATAGGACATTAAATGAGGGCTATTTTGTTCAATTTGTAGAGATGAGGGACTAAAAGTGACATAGTATAAGGTGAGGGGTTAAAACCTACAAATTTATTAAGATGAAGGATTAAAAATGGGTATTTGTCTCATAATTGCTATAGTGACTAAGGGCTTTGTGAGAGGGTGACAATTTTGAAAATTTTGGCTTTTGTATAGGAAATCCTTTTCGTCTTTTGCCCATACTCTTTTGTCTCTAAACTTGACCTTTTATAATTTGTTTAGACAAAAATTTGTAAAGGAAAGGGAAAGGAAAAGAAGGAGAAGTGAAGGAAAAGTCATTGATATTAACGTTGAATAAATAAAAGTAGAGGAAAATAAAAGATAATATTTTTATTTAATTAAATAATTTAAAAAATAAAATAAAGTAAAATATTTAAAATTTATTAATTAAAAATAATTTATATAAAATATATTTATATATTTATTTAAAAAAAATAAAAAATTACATATATAAAGCTAATTATGAAGAATTGAAAATAGAAAAGTAGAGGGGTTTTATCTCCTCTCATTAAAAGGCCAAAGTATAATTTTAATGTCTCACCTTAATAAATTTGATGGTTTTAGTCCCTCACTTTACACTATAAAACTTTTAATCCCTAAATTTAAAGATTTGAAAACTTTAACCCTTAAACTAATGAAATTGTTAACTCTAAGTGAAGGTGATAATAAAATATTTATAAGATCAGTACTTATAAATTAAAAATATAACAATTTAGTCCCTAAAGTTTACATATTAAAAAATATTAAATTAAAAATAATTAGTAAATGTTTTGCCACATACACGAGCAGTATTAGATATCTATAATAAATCAAGTAATTAGCTCAATTTGAAGAAGGAATTTTAACTAAAATTAAAAAAAAAATTTATTAATTGAGTTAAGAGAAAAGTTCTAAGAGACTAAAGAATATAATTAAAAAATTTTCTCTAATCTCAGTAAGATTTCTTTCTTTAGATTAAGTTAATTACTCGAGTTTGATTGTAGATATTTAATAATATTCTCATGTATGTGACAAAACATCCACTTATTATTTTAATTTATTATTATTTTTATTTTTAAGCTTTGGGACTAAATTATTTTATTTTTAATCTTTAAAAACTAAACTTGTAAATATTTTATTCTCATTTTAATGGGGGTTAACGAATTCTGTTAATTTGAATGATAGACCTTCAAACTTTTAAATTTAGAGGTTAAAAATTTAGATGAGGGACTAAAACCTTCAAATTTATTAAGTTGAGGAGCTAAAAATAAACGTTAGCCCTTATTAAAATCACTAGCCAAAACATTAGAAGAAGGCATCTCCCTTCCCTATCCTTCCCTTCCCCTCAAAGTTCCTCAATCCAAACTAAGGATTAGTCTTTGTAAGAGGAAAATGGATATGATCAGATGTTTGAATATATTGACTGGTAGCCTAGATTGCAATTGGATAAATATTTGAACTTTGCACCCGTTGCTTCTTTTGTTTTTGGTTAAACTTCCAATTTGGACTCTTAACTATTGTATTAACCCTCAATTTGGTCTTTAAACTAAAAAAATTCTTGATTTGGCCCCTAAACTATTGTACGGACCTTAATTTGGTCTTCACTATTTACCAATTTGCCCCAAGTTGGTCATTCCGTACAAAAACCAACTAACATGTCAGTTACTTAACGGCAAAAAACAGTAACTTAACGATGAAAAATAGTAACTTAATTGCCATATGTTACATTAATAACAAAATACATTAGTTGGCTTTTGTATGAAAGACCAACTTGGGGTAAATTGGAAAATAGTAAGACCAAATCAAGAGTCTGTACAATAGTTTAGGGACCAAATTGAGGATTTTTTTAGTTCAGGGATCAAATCAGGGGTCCGCACAATAGTTTAGGGACCAAATTAGGGATTTAACCCATGTTTTTTCTGCCTTCGTTGTTGTGATCTGCTACTCCCCTTCTAATTCTTGACCGAATCAAAATGTGTGATCTGGGGAGGAAGGATGGAGAGAAAAAAAGGGGCTTTCAGTGAGTGATGCCTATTTTGTTCTTCATATGCACGATTTGGAGGAAGGAAAGTTGGAGATTGAAGAGTGAAAAGGATGTAGAAAGGGTAGTTCTTGGCGATGAGACAGAAGAGCCAAAGAAGTCCGAATCAAAGGTCTTTATAGATCTCTGACTTTTTTTTTTTTTTTTGAGGTTTTAGGTTATTTTCATGATTTTTGGCCTCTTTATTTTGCTGGGTCCGATTCGCATTCACTTTCGAAAGGGAGATCATGATCAACGAAGATAGAGGCAGGGGGTGGGTGGCTATGGTTAATGACTCAGTGACGGTGGCGAAAGATAAGTATCATTCGATAAAATTTCTTCTGATTTCTCTGTTCCTCTATTGAGCCCTGAGAAACAACGTTGGGTGGGTGTCCATGGGTCCACTGGTATTAGCCAGCCACTCACCCACAGAACTCAACATACCTCTAAAATGTGCTTCACCACTGAAGCCCCACAATACCTCAGAGCCTTATCCCGCGCGTTGCGTTTGTCCACTTAGGGGAAGGTGGAGTTGATGAACCACCTAGCCCCCGTCATGTTCTTCACCTCGAACAAGCTGCTCTGGAACGCCATTGGGGGAACAAGGCCCTTTCCCTTACCGGGAGCTCGTACCTAAGCCCCCTCCTCCAACTGTTTGAGCTCGGGATCCAGCTCAACAGGAGGAGGCTGAGGTACGAGCCGAGGTACCTCATTCCCCCTCCCCTCCTCCTCCACCACCTTCTTCTTCTTCTGCAGTGCCCTCCTCTCCTCCCAACCCTTCCTCTTCAACTACGGCACCTCCTCCTCTGTCTCAGCTGAAGCCGCGAGCACTATCTCCTTCCCAGCCCTCCCCTCATCCACTTGCTTAGTTGAAGTCTTTGACTTCTTCCTTGGCTTCTTGGGGATAGCCACTCCTCCAGCAGTGTTTAAAAACTGATCCATTTCAGCTACAAAGCAAGAAAACACAATGTCAATCCAAGTTCTATATTCTACATTCCATACTACAATGCAAAGTTAAACCAACCTTCACTTAAAGCGCTTGGCCCATAGAGCTCAGTAGCTTCTATGCATTGTGCGCTGGTGAGGTCCATAATATTCAGTAAATCTCCCCCCTTCCTCACCAACTTCCTCACTTCTTCCTCCTCATCCTCATTCAAACTAAACTTATTCTGGTTAGCTTTCTTAGCCTTCCAAGATACTAACTCCCTCACCTCGGTATCCCTCCTCTCCCACTCCGTATCATCTACAAAAAAGAATTTTTCCTTCCATCCTTTAATGGATGAAGGACCCGCAGTGAACAAAGCCCTACTCTCTTTACTAGCTACCCTAGGGGTGAAATAATACCACCCCTTATCCCTCCTACTACCTCCCTTTAAAACAAAAAAAATACTTAAACATATTTACGGTTGGCACATTAATCCCCTGAGCTCGGCAATAGACTAAAAATCCTATTATTACCCTCATAGCATTGGGGGCTAATTGTGTCAACCCTATATTATAATCTAACAACAAACCTACTAGCAACTCAAGAATTGGAAACCTCAACCCCGCTATCAGATAGTGGGAATATACAAGCATCCAATGATCCCGAGGAGCAGAACACGCTCTCTCCTCTATCCCAGCTGGCCTAATTAACACTCGAGAAGAGATCTCATAATTTTCCACTAAGTGACCCAGGCTATCCCTGGTCCTTAGTTCAGATCTATACAGCTTCACCTCCTCCACTATCTCTGCATCCACATCATAATCTCTCCCTCCTCTACCCTCTACTTCTACTACAGTGATGGGTATGCTATCCCCCCCAACCCCTACCACCTCATTCCCCCCAACCTCCACCACCTCATCTCCTCTCACCCCCTCCACTGTCTTCTCCTAACTAGATGGAGATGGACTACTCTCTGAGTCCATGCTCCCGTAGTCCAAGGGCATCACCTCACTCCCTACTATACTTATTGTTCCTTCTGATGACATTTTCTCAAACTCTGCACGAAATAAGGGGGAGGAATAAGTCAGGATCCCTTTAAAAAAAAAAAAACCCCCTCTGTTGCACATTCAAAATCCTTTTCACCTCTAACCCTAACTTCCTTCAAATGACTCTAAATCAATCACAGAAAGGGAGAAAGGAGAGAGACACTTTGATTAACTCAAAATCAGAGGTTCGTATACATTACCTGATTTGGGTTTCGAAAGCCTGCGGTAGAAATCCCCAAATGCTGCGGCAGTTCACACGCAAGAAACACACAGTAAAGCTTTTCACAGAAGTTTTGCAGGAAAAGAAATGCAAGTAAGCCTCTTTCTACAGAAAAAAATACCTATTTATACTTATGGGCAAAATTAGATCTCAACGGTTGAGATTCGTTTAATCTTACGGTTCCTATTAACACCGTTTGGAATTCGACGGCCAACCCCAAATGGTACCGTTTTGAATTCGACGGTTCGTTTTGAATTCGACGGTTTGTTTTGAATTCGACGGTTCGTTTTTTAAAATTTGCCCGTTTAACTGGTGCAGTTATCTTTTTACGGCTGCATTTATTGCACACGTCATTCCAAGGACAACTGTCAGACTTCTCAGACGGGCCCACTTACGCCCATTTCAACACCTTCGTTCACTTTTGCACATTCTCAATTTTGCAAGTGTTTCACTCAGCTCCGACCACAATAACCATGCATTACATTTCACATCGGCTTTGGCCACAGTGACTTAGTGTCACACATTTTATTTCGGCTCCGGCCATTATGACTCCAGTCATTATATTTTATTATGGCTCTGGTCATTGTGACTTCGGCCATTATATCTTATTACGACTCCAGCCATTATGACTCCCGTCTTTATACTTAAGCCTAGGTCAGCACTTCTGTTTACTTTTGCAATTACACTGTTTAACTGGCATAGTGTTTCACTTCTGCTACGGCCACAATGACTTACTGTGACTATATGTTACATACTTTACCTCGGCTCCAGCCATTATAACCCCAATCACCATTTCCTATCACGGCCCTGGCCTCTATGACTCCAGTTATCATTTTTTATCATGACATTGGTTACATTATGACTCCAATGATCTCTTTTTATTACGGCTCCGGCCATCATGACTCCAGTCGTCATCTTTTACTATGGCTACGGCCACATTAACTCCAGTCATTATTTTTACCATGACCACAGCCATGATCGCTCCGGTCATATTCTATTTAAGGCACCCCAGTATGACCCACTGTCACATACTTCATTATTAGCTACGGCTATGTGTACATTTGAGTTACAAATTTTATTTCTTCCTTTTACTTCCATGACTTACCCATATTCTCTTTGTTTATGCACTCACTTCATTATCCCCAACAACATCATTCACAAGTGAATGACTTCGGGGGGGAATAGTGTAAGGACAGGTTCGAAGTGCCGAGCCTCGGACTGCTACAATAATTCCTTTATGACCGAAGTGAGGGATAAGTCCAAAGCTTCCCGCTCAAATAGCTGCTTGACAACGACAATAAGCATACCCGCACCTGATTCCTTATGATGAGTGGCACAACAGGTATGGTGGACATCCGTGCATCTTAATACCTCTCAAATTCCCGGTCCCGGGATAATCGTCTGAATAAACACGTCAGGCTCCAATTATCTTGCTTGGCATGCCACGTGGGTTCCTCATTGAATCTTATAAATACCCCCCCGGGCCACATCAAAAGGTAATTGACACCAACCCTAAGCTCTTTTTATCTCCGCTCTAAAGGTAGCCCCGATTATTGCTGACTTAAACATCGGAGTGTCTACCCCGAGTTCCACCTCGGGGCTTTGCAGGTCATACCGGAGTGCTGAGACGAACTAAAGAAGGACTTCTGGTTTGGTGCAATTACAAATGCCTATTTACAAATGTTCCATATATCTTCATCATAATGCTTGAATTCTCTGCTCAACGATCTGTTCAGGTTCGTGTGGTGATGATACCAGGAAATGATTAGGAAGAACAATTAAGGAAGACCTAGTAGAGAAAAGAAAGATCTTTGATCATATTCTCCAAATTAGCCAAGAAATGGTAAGAGTTTATAGACAACTCAGAAAGATAACAGAGAGAATTCAAGGAAACATCAACGCCATACAAAATAGAGATGAGCATTGAGTATGGATATATCCATTGTTTGTAAGTATACATGATATTATATCTTTTATAAAAAAATTTTGAAATCACTGTCATCCCTTTCCCAGCCAACTCAATTATAGCACGTCATCAACACCAATTGCAGTCTAGATTTGGCAAACATGTTGGATCGGATGGGTTCGGATTGAATCATTTTGGATTTTAAAATTTTCAGATTGAGTAATTTCGACTGTCAGATTAAAAGGATAGGTCCATAACCTACCCACACAGATTTTGGATTGAGTTAGGTGGACTTAACTTTTTAAAAAATCAAAATTAAAATTAAAAATTTTTCATATTTTTTTCTATTTTTCTTTAATGAAGTTTAATAGTAATTAACTATTTAGTTAAATACTCTATTAAACACTAATTTTCATTTCACGATTTAATTTTCATTCCAATCTCGTGAAAAGAAAAGAGAAAGATTACTGATTTTATAGATGGAACTAAAATATATGTCAAATATATAATACTTATATAATATTTACAATTCATAATTTCGTAAAACCATTAACCTTCATTAAAAGAAAAAACATGAAGGATTAGAGTTCAAAAGACAAATCCAATATATATGTTAATATCTAGTGCCTATTTAATATTTATAAGGGTATCATACAAAAAAAATATAATTTTATTCAATATTTAGAAGAGTATTATACAAAAAAAATATAAC